ATGTTTTTCTCTTTTTTTAAAAAAAGAATTATTTTATTTAACTATATTTTATTTATTTATTTATTTATTTATTTATTTATTTAGACCAGAGAGGGACAGAGTGTGAGAGAGAGAGAGAAAGTGAGAAAGCAAGCCACCAGGTCTGGGATTTGAACCACGGTCAGCTATGTAGGAAGTCCAATGCCCTTAACCACCATGCCACCTGCTGGCCCCAAAAAACTTTCTATGGTTTTCTTTGTCAAAATGCATCAGGACTTTTTCGATGACCCAGTATTTTGTAAAATAATAATAATAGAGGGCTGGGTGGTGGTGCAGTGGTAACACGATGCTGTGTGAGGCTGATCTAATGGGAAGGTTCTGGGTTCAGGTCCGGAGACCTCCTTGTACATGCTGGGTACAAGTGTGCCCATGACCTTGGGCAGTCTGAAGCTGACTGAAGGTGGGGGATGTCAAGATCCTATGGGAAGTGCTGTCTCTCTGCCTCTTTCTCTGTACCTCTTGCTTATGAAAGGAAATAAACAAACTTTAAAATAATCATCTGAAAGAGCAAATGGTGAGAAAGTTGAGCCCCTGTGCTCTCACTCACGTTCATGGTTCCGTTGATTTCTGCCACTGACTCGTCATCTGTAGGGAACTGATAGATCTGGACTCCGTTGCTGACAAGCTCGCTGGTGATTTTGATTTTGAACTTCGTTAGCTCACTCTTAGAAATGGCATCTGATTTGGCAATGATGGGGATGATGTTCACCTGGGAAGAGGAGCAGAGTGGGATTATTGTTGGAAACCCGCAATGATAGCAGCATGACCTAGGACTTCCGCCAGCTGCCAGAGCAGCTCAGCCCATTGGTCTAGGACTGGCCGTCTCATAGCCAAATAACAATCTAATAAACAATAACGAATATAACCCTCCTGGGTGGCATTTTTTTTTTCTTTTTGGAGAGGTTTTTTACTTATAGGGCACGTGCGCTCACCAGAAAGACAGAGACATAGACAGAAAGTGAGAAATCAACCCCCACCCCCAGGGGGGAGGGGCACAACACAATCCCTTC